CCATGGAGGCCGACAAGCGGCGCGGCACGATGGCGCGGAAAGGGTCGCGGCTCCGCGAGGTCATCAAGAGCCAGCTCCCGGACCGCAACGCCGTCCACGAGGCCATGCACGAGGACTGGTTCGCCATGGGCAAGCACCGCGTCCTCGAGGCCTTGGTGGCCGACAAGCAGGAGCAGCAGAAGGTCAAGGCCGTCTTCACGGCGCACTACAGGGCAGCACAAGAGAGCGAAATTCCCAACTTCAAAGGCTCCGATCTCGGCCGTTTTCCACTCGTTTCGGCTGATTTTTGGACGGACGATCATCTCTCGGAACGATCTCGAAGCGTGGAGGTTTTTCTCGTAACGCGCGCGCGCGGAACACTCACGTTAAAGCGACGTTGAATCACCCTTGTGCTGCCCAGGCGCACTACGTCCAGCTCGACGAGCTCTTCAAGACCTACGCGGCCTCCGGGTCGTCCATCGCCACGGCCCAGGAGATCGAGTTCAACGAGTTCACGGAGTTCGTCCACAACGCGAACCTCGTGGCCGAGGGCCCGGGGTCCCAGCAGGTCATGCACAGCTGCTACAACGAGGCGAACGGCGACTTCTCGGGCGGCGGCCGCAAGAGCCGCGGCGGGCCGAACCGCAAGGTGTCGGCCGTGGCGTCCTTCCACGAGACGAAGCACATCGAGCGGCCCGCCTTCTTCAACGCGCTGCTCTGGTTCGCGCTCTTCTGGGCGGGGCACCCGGACGGCCAGCCCGACCCGCTGAGCCGGCCCGGGTCGTCCGCGTCGGGCAAGCCCTCGTCGGGCAACTCGACGGCCTACCTCGCCAAGTTCGAGAAGATCACGAACGCGAGCCGCCAGCTCCTCCAGCTGCTGGAGGAGAAGATCCTGCCGCTCGTGCACAAGCGGCTGCCCGGAGCGCTCGGCAAGATCGCGCTCGACCAGGACGACGTGCTGAGCCTCTTCTACGACGCCGAGGAGGACCTGCGGGGCATCTTCCGCGCCCGCGCGAACACGTCCGACGACGAGATCACCATCACGGAGTTCGTCTCCGTCGTCGACGACGCGGGCCTCATCGGCCGCGGCGGCGCGGCCGCCGCGTCCGCGGGCGGCGAGGGCGGCGACGCGCGGGCCCTCGAGGGGTCGACGACGCTCACGCTCAAGGACGTGCGCCAGGCCTTCGCCGCGTCCCAGTCCGAGGTCGCCTTCGCCGCGCCGGGCCACGAGAAGAAGAAGAAGAGCGAATCCAGCCGCCGCGACGAGGCGCGCGACATCCACACGTCCCACAGCCTCATGTCCTTCGCCGAGTTCA